TGACCATATGAAATTTTGTTTAACACATTTTATCATCATTTTACTATCCTTACAGGGTAATAATTGCAAAAAAACATCTCAATCTTCTCTAACTTTAATAAAAATTATAAATACCCAGTTTTTGGGTATTTACCCAGGCCTGGGGTAGATACCCGGGTAAATACCCAATTTATATTTACCTACCCACTGGGTATTTACCCGGCCCACATCACTATTTGTACGCCATACCCATTGATTAAACTAAGTAAAGGTAGGCTACCGTAATGAACTAATTTAAAACAACCTTCTACAAACTGTCACTTGACTGGAGACCTGCCATTTTGGTTTTATGTAGCTGTTAACTTTAAATCATATCCTGGTAACTTGTGCCTATTTAAGTTACTAAAGATGTAGGCCTATATTGCCCATGCTGTAAGTTGTAAAGTTATTGTAACAAGGTTACCTAGGCTGCTGTGTTATTTTTCAAATTAACTAATTAGCTTCAGCGAACACAGATTTGAAACAAGTGGCTTGCCGTTTGAACAAACGTTACAAGATGAGTTGCCATCTTGCTTTGCATCAAAATTTGCAGAATTTAGAACTGTAATTTAGACATTATTATGAATAACTTGGTCTGTGTGCTGCAATTTAACTTACGGTACCGGTATTAACAATTTTGGAAAAATTCTGAAATTTTCTGCTTTAAATAAACCTTACCATTTGTAGGCCTATAGTTTTTAAATTTTATTGATGATTTGTAATTTAAAACAAAAAATATTAATAGCCTAAATCATAACTTAATATTATTAAAACCTTAGAGTAAGAAAGTTAGTAGGTTAAACTTACTAAAACTTTCGTTTGTTGGTCAAATAAAAATTCACTTGGAAGAAAGTTGTTTAAAAAAAATTAATGCCAGACTTATGGTTTACTTCTTTTTCCATCTTGCTTAATTTAGCCAGAATTTCAGGTTGAACAGAGAGGCAAGACCATTGAACGAGTCTAAACTAATTTTTTTGTACTTGATTCATTTGGTAAATCCCACTGTACACCCCTGAAAACACACACTGACCAATTATGTCTATTCTGTACTTTACTACAGAAGTGAGATTGTCAAAGCTAGTTTGTTAAATACAAATACATGGCATATTCTCTCTAAAAGCTGATTGTTTTGTATTTTTCTTCCAATACTAGCTGTAACCCGCGGGCTTTGCCCCGTTTAACTTCTTAATTTTCAAGATGATCTCGTTCGCATGGCTCAATCACGTCCTGGTTGAAGTTTGTTCGCTACGCTCACTCACCTTTAGATTGGAGCTCGTTCGCTACGCTCACTCACCTTTAGGTTAGAGCTCGTTCGCTGCGCTCACTTGCCTTCAGGTTAGCTCGTTCGCTACGCTAACTCGCCTCCAGGTTGAAGTTCGTTCGCTACGCTCACTCACCTTTTGGTTGCAAATTAGCTGTTGTCATAAATGTAAAAGAAATAATAGTGCTGCACCCTGTTGGTAATCCTTGTAACTTTAATGCTATTAAACATCATAGAACAGAATCAACTTGTTTAATTGAAACAGCTGTTAAGATTCATTAATTCCATTTCTCATAAGGTTAACATGGGAAACTCCAGAGCCACTGGGGCGAGCCCAGAGGTCGGAGGGTAAAATCCTTTCTTAGTGATCGTCTACTACCCAAAAGGATGATGCCTGCCAAGATTCAGGTTCCTTAGGTCTTATGGTTTCTGAGATTTCGTGATGAGTGAGTGAATGAATGAGTCAGTGGTATTTGAGCTTTATATAGATTTGCATAACAAATTCTTTTGTTATTGTTATCTATTATGAGGCGTTTCACTTAAACTGTTTCAGTTGTAGCCAAGAGACTGTTGGCTGAAGCCACTGAATTGAAAGTAAAAAAAAACTGCATCCGTGCATGGCTGTGACAAGCCAAATTTAGGGCCAGTACCTAAAAGGTTTGTAGAGCATATTAGTTATAGAACTGTTTATTTCATAAGGTTTACTTTTGTTGTTACAGTAGAACCTCGATAGTTCGACACTCCCTGTAGTTCGACACAGGCCGTGATGACAAGACATGGCATCAGTGGCCGATGACGGGTTCACCAAGGTTAAAAACTAGAGCATTCTTAGTGTTTTCGTGCATGGAAAAACTCAATAGGTAGCCTACTTAAAATATCCCATTAACTTACATTTTTTCTAAGATCCAAAGTGTAAAAAGCATGTGACGTAAATTATGAGGGGCGAATAAGATTGTATTTACTGAGCAGCCTACCCCTAGTACCAGCCACGCTCAAATTTCTTCCCCGGGGTGCTGAGAAGGATTCACGGTTTTGACTGATTAATTATTTTAATTTAATCTAAGGTTCAGAGCTCTAGAAGCGCTCAAAAGATCCTGCAGACGCCCAGGAGGAGAGCAATATCATCCTCGCCTTTGTTAAAATGTTATTGCAAATTTTGCCTAACTTTTAGAATAACTGTAGGACAGACGAGTACTCTACCCTGGCCAATTCGATAAAACTACCTACTCGTTTAAACTGTTGCAACAACGGGTTTTAGAATTCTAATAACAAGTCTCGGGTTTGTTAATTTGGTTTATTAGTATAAGGAACATACAAGGGTGGTTTTTCAAGTAAGAGCCAGTTTCTGCGTATAAATCCATAATTCGCTTAAGTACGCTGCAGCAAGGCTCCTCGCCACTTGCTGGTATCATTTGTGAACAGAATGACACAATTTGCAGCTCTGTAGCTGACATGTACCTACATTTCGCTGTGTGTTTCAACAATTTTTTAGACTTTTTGTCCCCGTACGCTAGGCTGGAGCCCGGGATTGTTTTTCACATTACTTCAGGCTAGACCTAGGGGTTACGGCATTATCACTTAGTTAAAATCCATTGGTGATTTGGCAGGATTTGAACCCTGGACCCCAGGAACCGGAATGACCGCGCTCTAACCACTAGACCTGCTCGCTCCCCAATTTTTTAGACTATTGATAATGTCAATGATAATCAGGGCCGGAGAGAGCCATCATGGGCCCCTGGGCTCAGCGATCCTGGGCCCCCTATTTACTTGATTTAGTGTCCAGCCGTCTCCGTGCCGTTTTGTCACACAAATAACTATATTAATAAATGTTTGCTCACAGTTTCAGCTTTAATCACAGTCAAAACAATTCAAGTAAAAAATTACTTAGTGAACTGGAAAACCATGCTGAAATTTTTAACTCAAGCAGATTACATGTACAGAAAAAATTTAAAAAAAAATTAGATAAAACATACTCCCTTAGTCGATACTTTATGATTTTTTTTTGTTGCAGGAAAAGAGGAGTTATTGGTGCACAGAATAGGAACATCAGGCTGAGGTTATGCGACAGTAAATAATGTATAAGTAAAATGTCACTTAATTTAACTCATGTTCTAATTTTCAAGTTTGTTTTATACTTTATATTTTCATAAAATAAATTTACTATAACCAATGTCACTTGCTACATTTTATTTATACCCCCACAAATAGTGATATTTTGGCTATGTTTGAAGAACTGTTTTGAACTTTTAAACTTTTTGTTGATCACTGAGATGTCTTTTCTAAAGCAGGGTCTGGTGTAATTTGATGAGGCCTTATTAAAAATTAAATGCTCCCACCCTTCACTCACAAGCTTGGCAGAATAGGCTTATTATTTTTAACCTAACTCAGTTATCCTATACAACATTTAAATAAAGTGTTATAGCATCATTTATAGGTTTCTAGCTGCCCCTCCCCTTGGGCTTCACAACAGAATTGAAAAATTTTCTTTGCTACAAACAGTTGTTTTGCATTGGTTTTGCTTAGAATTTTCCTAACAGCGGTTTGGTAGCTAATACAATTAAACGAAAGTTCTGTCAAAAGAAAAATATGTTAACATTGTAATTTTAAAGCCAGTGAGCCAGAGCCCTGATGGAATCTCTCAAAGCTACTTCGTGTACATATTAAGTGAAACCTATTATGGAGGTTAAGTGAAACCTCCATGCCACCAAGTTCTGAGTACATATGCATGGTAGTTTTTGAGGAATAGTGATCAATGAGTGAGTGAGTGGTAACTGTATTATAATATAGATTATAAGGTCAAATTATGTATCCACCCAAAGTTTTCTGCGTAGATTAAAGCTTAAGGTAATGTACCTTGCGTTTAATATTTTAAGGCTTAACTTACTGCCATAAAGCAACCAATATTTTGATGTCCTAATAGATAGCTGTCCCCGCGCTTAGTAGGCATCATTAAAGTTCTTGAGTTCACAAAGACAAAACAGCTAGGCTATCCACTAGGACATTAAAATATTGGACTACTTTAAGACCGTAAGAATGCCGTAAGTCAAGTAAAATTCCTTGTCAGTCAATCACTTGTTACTGTATGTACTGAGTTGATCATGATTATGCTTTTATTTAACCCGAATTCAACAATATATTTTGATTTCAGCCAAAAATCTTTACCTTGAATTAACCTTAAATTTTCAGGTTATGAGTCCTGAATTGACCATGATTTTACCTTAATTTAAACATACTTATACCTTAATTCAACCTCAATTCAGCCTTGATTATGCATTACTGCCAGAAACGTTTACCTTGAATCAACCTAAAATTTTCAGGGTTGATTCAGGTTTCACAAGTGTTCAGTAGGACCCTTGAATTAGCCCTGAATTAGGCTTGATGGCTTGATATTTTAAGATTAATTCAGGCTTGCATCTTTGAAAGTTTAACCTTGATTTAATACTGAATCAGGAAAAAATTGCTATCTGGGTGTAGGCCTACTGGTAACACAAGCACGCGCGTGGGAGTATGCCAGACCCAGGGGGGTGATAACAGGTCTAATGACTTGGTCAAGACTAACAACCCTACAGCCAGATAATAGCATATGCTATTTTAGGAAGCTACTGTTATGCTCATCGTGGTTGCCACCATAATTGTAAAATTATTGCAACATTAACGTACGTGGGGGTATGTCATACCTTCGCGCGCGCGTTTAAGGGTTAATCTGATTGAAACCTTTCTCTTACTCTTTATCAAAATTCTTGTTCTCCTGTCCTGTCACAATAAACAATAACCATCACCCATGGTAGAAGGAAAATTACCCACCTACCTGGGCTGACTAGGAGAGTGAATGCTTATGTCCTTTAGATACAAAACTAACATGGAAAAACATAATTGGAGAAAACGATAAAAGCTAAATTTAAAAACTATTTTAAAAACATCAGGAGTACCTATTAATAATACACCACAGCTAGAAATTCCACAAATTTATTTTAGAAAGGAACATAATATTACTCAAAATAATGTTCCTTCAGGTTTAAAAACTATTATAAAGATCGTCATGATAACTGAAACTGCAGAATAAAACCACAAAATGGGTGCTGTTCCCAAGACTTCTTTAACTGGAAGGAAAGCCACGACGTTTAGAAACATGCTGAAGAAGCCAGCACTCAAAGTTACTACTCGCCCACAATCTCGACATCTGTCAGTTCCCTCTTCCTCTTGCTTATCAACAAATCCTGAAAAAGTATGAATCAAGACAATGTTAAAATACAGTACAAGGTTATGGGAGTTCAGATATACATTTGGTTTACATTAAATTTCCTACAATTCTTTGTCAAGGGTAGCAAATTTAAACCCTCCAGTAAAAACTTGCTAGACACGCCTTTTTGGGTTAGAGAGAAAATAAATGCAGAATGCCAGAGGAAAAACAATTATTTGTCCAGTAATGTTAGTAAATAACATGAATCTACATTTGTATATCAATAAAAGTAAACAAAAGAAATCGTATAATGAAATAATTTACGACAAAAATGCCAAAGAAACCATTAACCAATATTTTTATATTCTAGACATTTTGGCTACCTGAATTCTCCCTTCCTAAACATAGTTAACCCCCTCCCACCCAGCTAAAAACCACTTGTCTGAATAATTAATCAATTTCTTTATTGAGGATTAATAGGGTGTCCTTAAAATAGCTTACTGTTAGGGACAAGGGACATATTCATGCTGTTTGCAATTTAATATTTATTCTTATAGTAGAACAATAAAAGTAAAGCATTATTGTTACAGTAATATTTACCGACTAGGAATGCTGCAGTGTAGAATGTAAGACAAATCGTAGGTATAAAAAAAATATGTGATACATCTTGGCCGCTTTCAAAATAAAAAAAGAAAACTCCAAGAATGGCCTGAAACAGAATTATACTGATTAAAATATAGGTACCCAAAGAAAAATATTGAAAAATAAAACCAAAATCATGTTACATTAGTGTAAAAAATTATTTGAAAAGGAATCGACGCCAGTTTTGGCTCATTGTTTTGAAATTTGAATAAGAATTAAAACCTGGCATGTGATTGATAAAGTAATTTTATATTTTCTTCGTTTTATCAGTTTGGACTTAACATGATGCAAATGCCAACTTCACACTATTCTTTTAAATATTCTCAATGTAACATACTGTTTGGGATTCTCAGATAATCATTTCCGGAATAGGCTACGTTTTGGCAGCATTGTCCTGATAAGCAAGATATTGTTGGGTTGAGGGTTGAGACCATTCTCTTATCTCTGGTCACCACTGGCTTGATTCTGTGAACTAAACTATACCTCAGGGGCGTAAAGTACAGGTTTTTAAAAGAAGAGAGCCCCCACTGTTGAATTCTGCCCTATGCAAAAAGAAGGTGATTAAGTGGTTAGGTAGGGAAAACTTTAAATAGTGGTAGCCCTCTTTTTCATAGACCTGCTTACTGTAAGTTATTAAGGTCATCACAGATCAGTAACCTATTGTAGGGGGTAGTTAAGATTAAAGGAAGAGAAAGAAGATATACATTAAAAATGGTGCAAAAACAGAAAAAATGAAGGTGAATTAGCGGATAAGAACCTATTTTATCTAATAGCTTCAAAACTACCTCTCAAGAGCTCTCACTGACCATAAACAGAGACATGAGTGTCGATGAAGTCGCCATCTTTGTCCTAGAACTGCAGCAAGCGTGGAACATCCAAACCACTGGCATGAGAGGGAGGCTGACCGTAGCAATCATGAAGAGAGAGTTCCAGATTAACTTCTTCTGGACCTCTCTTATCAGCGGCTCCATGAACATGAACACCACGGGGAAGCCAGTGAGAGAAAGAAGAACGAAGAGAGTAAGGTTCGCCTTGGCAATTTTCGGGTCTTTGTGGAATGGAGGAAGAAACAACTCTGGCCCTCTCTTCCTTGTACCTTCCTGCACAATAAAATCAAGTTATCTCGAGATTTGAACGATTTTTACCTTGATGGTTACCCCCAGTGAGTGGTGGATGGGCTGCGTGTGCTCCCACTATCTCCGCGTTCCGCCATCTCCGAACCCAAATCTGTCCCGCCACCTCCGAATTCTTGAGTGACGCTTATAATCCCGTCACTGCCTGCGTTGTTAGCTGCCATTGCATCCACGGCTGCAAAGCCCCGTGGATGGAAGATTTAATGAAAATTTAACCCGTGGGTTAGGTTAGGTTAGGTCAGGTTAGGTTAGGTTAGGTTAGGTTAGGTTAGGTTAAGTTAGGTTATGTTAGGTTTGGACGGAAAGTCTTAACGCAGGAAGTAACCGAGGATTATAGGGGTCACTCTGAAATTCGAAGGTAACGGTACACGGAGGTGGCGGGACGCGGAGATAGCGGGAGGTAACCGATGGGCTGGCGGCGACTCTCAGGTAGACGGGAGGGTCAGAAGTGATTGGTTTTCAATGGGTGTAGGCACTTGACCGAGGCTGTAATCCTCTTAATCACGGTCGGTTGACCTGTCAGTTCTAGGTTGGTGTCGAACGCTTCCGCATCATACCGTGCATAGCCGAACTGTTTAACGATCAATAATATATAATTTAATATAATAATAATATAATAAATAATTTAACGATCATAACCTAACCGAACTAACCAAACTTGCTGATAATGAAAAATCGAATGAAGGTTTACTAATAAAAAAATAGTTATGTTCATAAAATAAAATTACAAATGCCTAAAATGCAATTTTTAATTTTTTATTTCTAAAATTAAACTATCATAACCTAACCAAACCAACCAAACTTGCTGATAATGAAAAAATCGAATAAAGGTTTCCTAATCGAAAAATAGTTCTGATCATAAAATTTAAAATTCTAACAAAAGATGTACCAGTTAAGAAGTAATCACATTCTAAGCGAAATCTTTGACAAAAAGTTAACGCCTCCGGTGGGATTCAGAATTCTCGATTCCCCACCCCTCCTCCGGTGACCACTACCCTCAGGCCATAAATCAGGGGATCAACCCAAACAAAGATCTGGTCCGTTGTCCTCTCCCGGTTTTCAATACAGCCCTTCCTGTAAGTGGCAGATTTTTGTGTCACCCTCCTTGCACACGTTACTGGCACTATTGTATATCGGTATAGTGTAAGATAATAAAACTCTTATTGCCGTAATAAAAGTCATACGTGCCTTATCAGCCCACCCAGCACCGCTCACTGGAATTCATCGTTTTGACTTTGTCTTTGTGTCTTCCTAAACAACAAAATCAAGTCAATCTCTTAATTTTGAGGATTTTACACCATAATAACTTCAAATTTGTGTGGTTTATAGCAGGATTTAAGTGTAATGTTTTATATTTTGTTATCAGTCAAGTATCCCTTTATCTCACCCCCGTAAAACACGCTGTTGTGTCTAGATTGATTATGTCCAACGACATTTGTCTTGTTTTATAAGCTGCGAATAAAACTACAATGGAAATACCCATTTCAAAAGAATACTTTCTAATTTATTCTACCAGATTTAGAAGTCTTTGGTTGTTGAACTTCGTGGGTGCAAAAGTAGATCGAAAAGGATAAGCCCAAAAATGAATACTTTACTCTGCAAAGACAAACCTGAATAAGAAGCATCAGCTGATCGAGTCCCCGAGTGGATATCCCTCTGTGTAAAAAGTCAATCGACTTCTCGGCTGTCGCCATGTTGCCATTAGCCACGTGGATATACGGGGATTCAGGCAGCCAGGTCAAACAAATCAAGAATAAAACTGGTACGACCGCAAGCATCAGTAGCATCTGAAACTCGAGTCAATGTAAAAATTTTGTCTTTAAAATGTTCTACTAGTAAAAGTTAATCTATTACAAATCTATCTGAATCCAGACTCTAAAATCTATTCCAAAGCAAATTATACAGTATAGGAAAAGTTTTTGGTTTTGAGTTGTTAGCTCTTAATTAGTAGGCAATAAAAATGTTCTTTATATTAAATTCTCTTTCATCTTATCAGCTAATTGTATTTGCATTGACCATTCAGTCTACAGAACATAACATTACAGGAAATTTATGACTGGACAATGTTGACTGGCTGCATCTTTACTCTGACCTAAATCGTTCCACTGCTTTTATATAAAGAATCGTTAAGAAAATCTCAACGTTCACGCTTTTCCAAGCCAAATTAGTATGATATTCGTTGTTTATTGGTCCAACTTTTTTATAAACTTCTCAGAAAAGTCTTGAATGCAAATCAAAAATCAGAAGATTACCTCAAAGTATGAGAAAGTCGAGCCGTTTGCATAAACCAAAAGGAAGCCGAGCGACGTGAATCCGTAGTACAAAGGCCTCAGAACTACTCTCACTTCTTGCTTCAACAAAACATGTAACAAAACGAGTGAAAACAATAACAATATAAAAAATAGTACACAAGCATTGTATGAATTGACATTTTTAAAGGTTCTGGACTACTTTGACATGCTGGAAGACCTGTAGGCTTCCTTATCTTATTAACTGGTGTATTCTAATGACGTCAACATACGATATCACAGAACGAGTAATAGATCGCAAATATTCTCGATCTTGTTTGTTGAATTAGAGAGTTAAAATATTTAATCTTATATTTTTACTGTGACCAACCTCTGCGATATCCTTAATGTAAGATCCCGCGTAGCATAGAACTGCACCTGTTGCAACTCCTGCTAAAATCCTTGCCAAGCAGATGATCCAGACTTGGACGAACGAGAGAAGCAGAACTGATAACAGGCTGAGGATACCGAAGAGGAGAAAAATTGATTTGTATCCATATCTGAAAGATTTTAAGAGATAAATCTGTAAAGTGTTAACATTCCAAAATACTTTAAAAGAACTCACTCCCACGTCCAATAGTAAATTTCCCTTAGTTTAACACATTTACTGGACAAACCTTCGCGCAGATCGCTTCAGCCGTTCAGGGGCCCATTTCATAATAAACTACAAGTTACAAGTTACAACTTGTAACTTGTAATTTCCATAAGATTTGCATTAGGCGATCAGCTGATTTTCTAATAATATTAGTTTGTACTTTATTATGAAATAGGCCCCAGGAGGAGTATTTGTAAAACAAAAGCAGGGGTGTAGTATAAGAGCGGTACGAACAAAATATTATCGTCAGCTGACGAGTGATGTTACTTTGGGAATTAGTTTTCTTTTTGCATACTCTTAAATAGGGTCAGGAGGTTTGTTGCAGACATTTTACTTTACAATTGGTCAAGGTCCTTAAGCTTTTGCTATTTTTTGTATCTAGAATATGATCCTGTCTTCAGTTGAAAAAGAACCTAAAAGATAAGTCCACAAACCAATCCAAAGATACAAAATAAAAGGACACACAGATAAAACTTTAATTCTAGCATCTAAGTTACCTTGGAGCTAAGAAGTATCCTACGGTTGGTCCCAGCATCATCCCTAAGGGCAGACTTCCCAAGATGGCTACTTTGTCTATGGTCAACATAGTCAGAGTCGTCTCTAGGTATGGAATCATCAAGGAGCTCCAGGCCAAATTCATTGCTATGTAAATGTACGCTGTCTTTACTGTAAAAATATAACAGACAAATAAAACAAAATAAAAAACCGTTACAGCAAACCTACAGAATAGGCGAATTTCTATTTGCCAAATTTAATTTTCAGTCAAATATGTCCTCAAAAATGTTAGATTTACTCCCTTTTTGAATACAATTAGGTTTAATGAGTAGACCTACTTAAGTTTGCTGCAACACTGAATGTAATAAAGTGTGTATTTGGAAAAATATCAATAACTTAGTCATGAAAAAATATATTATGCCGAATTAGATCGAAGTACATCCATAAACAAGCAAACTACAACTGTTTACTTATGATCCATAAGAATAACATAAAAGGTATTAAATTTACAGTTTTTTTTTTTTTTACTTTTCTTCGTAACGATTAAGTGTACAACTGTTTCAATATACGAAATTATTTGTAGGCCTACCCAGTGTTTACCCCATGAAACCCTGTACCCATAGTCCGGCCATGCTGGTCTGTGAACTCTTTCGAATATTCGGTTTACACGTTTGTACAAAATTTCATGAAAATTGGATTCGGACTAAAATCTCATCAAATGAATTCAACAGATGGTGTTTTGGTCTTTCGGGACCTCAAAATGAAACAGTAAATTTGTCTCGGGTCTAGGTTTTACCATGAAACCCACGGTAATAGTTTATTCCTTATACGAGAATGTCGTTTAGTGTAGCAAAATACAGTAGAGCCTCGATAATAAGGCTCTCATGGGGTTCATTAAATAAGACTTGTTATCAAGGTTTGCAATAACATTCGATTGGGGTAAAATAAATACTAGGGGATTTTAAAATGACACTTGTTCAAGGTCGACTTGTTATCAAGGTTTGCAATAACATTCGATTGGGGGTAAAATAAATACTAGGGGATTTTAAAATGACACTTGTTCAAGGTCGACTTGTTATCAAGGTTTGCAATAACATTCGATTGGGGGTAAAATAAATACTAGGGGATTTGAAAATGGCACTTGTTCAAGGGTGACTTGTTATCAAGGTTCCACTGTATAACAACGAGGTAGAATATTTTCGTATTTTTAATTTTGTAAATGGATGGTTAAAAAGCTGGGCAATCAAATAATGTTTTTAAGACAACTAAATCAAAGTAAAATTGATCTTTTCACTTCTCCTAGAGCATTACAGATTTTTTACCGTTTAAGTAATTTAAGTAAATTTAAGTAATAAAACAGCATAGCTTTACCACTCCCAACACCCGCTTTTGATAGTAAATTTACTTAATTAAGTAATGAACTTTTACACTCATTTAAACTTTAGGACATACGCAAAGGGAACAATTATTTTTAGAAAACCATTGTTATTACAACTTTTACAACTCTAACTTATCTCTTAACAGAAAATAGATGTGCATGAAATCCATGTTAAATTCAATAATCTAACAAAAACCTCTAATGTGTTCAGTAAATAACTTACCAACAAAGACACTTAGATACATGTTGCGAAGTGAGTACGATTCCATGCCCAAGCCACTTCTGGCAGTGTGTTGGACATCCATTAAAAAGATTTCAAAATCCTGCAAAGATTAGTGAAGCTATATTTAGTATTTACAAGAAACTTTTAGGAAAGAAAGGATTGATCTTTTGTCAACGTTACTCAGAGCAACATAAACTTGTTTGTTGTAGCAACTGAGGAGGTTTTATAGAAACAAAAGAAGGTTGAACGCGAATGCCAGCAGAACATAACAGTTTTAATATTAACTTGGTTTTTATCATAGAATGATTTAGAACAGATTTAAAAGTGTTATTCATGTTTTGGACCCAAAGTATATTCAGGATTGTTAAAATAAATAACAAATTTTTTAAATCATTGACTGACTATGATAGCGAGACTTGTTGATCGACAGGTGCCTAAGTCCCACCAATTTTTTGTGAACAGTTTTACATAATTTTCTAAGAATTTAACAGATTGTACAAAAATATATAGCAAATTTTCGGAAACATAATATGTTTGTAACAAAAATATGTTTGTAGCATTAGTTAATAAAATGCATTCTAAGATGAGTTGAATTAAATACACTTGAAAATAAAAGACGATGATTATTTAATAATTAATTATATTAGAAACATAGGCTGTGGATATTAGAAACATAGATGTCATCTCATAAAAATTATATTGCGTATTATATTAAGGAACACTATTCAAACTAGGCCTATACCTATTCAATCTTACTAATATTATAAATCTGAAAGTTTGTGAGTTTGTGTGTATGTTTGTGTGTATGTTTCTGTGTGTGTTTGTTGCTCAATCACGCATAAACTACTGGACGGATTGGGTTGAAATTTGGCATGATGATAGCTCACATTCCCGATTAACATTAAAGCATATTCTTATCTCAAAAACCCTTTCGGGCTCCGCCCCAGTGGCTCTGTAGTTCCCCATGTTAATCTTATGATTTTTCATATTTAAAAGGAATTAATGAATCTTAACAGCTGTTTCAATTAAACAAGTTGGTTCTGTTCTATGATGTGCAATAGCATAAAAGTTACAAGGATTACCAACAGGGTGCAGCACTATTAATTTTTGACAACGGATAATTTCCAACCAAAAGGTGAGTGAGCGTAGCGAACGAACTTCAACCTGGAGGCGAGTTAGCGTAGCGAACGAGCTAACCTGAAGGCAAGTGAGCGCAGCGAACGAACTTCAACCAGGACGTGAATGAGCCATGCGAATACTTATGAAGTTAAACGGGGCGAAGCCCGCGGGTACAGCTAGTGAGTTATAACGAAAAGAAAAACAAAAAGGGACAGTCAGATTCAAATAGTAAATACAATGTTTGGGTATGTACACTAATAACAACAGATCATTTGAAATGTATATAAATAAAAATGAATCCCTTTTTTATGGTATTCCATAACTCGAGAACGAATGCAAGGAATTGGATGATTCTTTTTTTGTTGTGTTCCTTAGTGCCAAGGGAAGGGTTTTATGTAAGGAAATTTTTAATCCATCAAACCGTGTTTTAGTAATTTGATTTTAAAAATTCCAAAAACTTGCCTTTACACTAGCTCACTCACTTCAACCTGGAGGCGAATGAGCGTAGCAAACGAGCTCCAACTAAATGGTGAGTAAGCGTAGCGAACGAATTTTAACCAGGACGTAATTGAGCGATGCGAACGAGCTCATCTTAAAAATGAACGAGCATTTGACATAAAACCACATTAGTACAGGACGACGTCTGTCGGACCAGTTAGTTAACAATAATAAAAACGAAACACATTATTGTGAGTTTCCTTCGTATTTACAAAAGCACGTAGTAAATAAGTTATTTTCACTATTCTGTAAACAAAAGTATTTGCACCCATAGGAACATGGTTCGGATCACCGAATAATCTTTGATAAATTATATCCATAACAAATTTTTAACTTACAAAGTTTATGATCTGTGACTAGAACATTGATACGACATATAGCTATAAAAGTCAATTTAGTATTCATGACCTATAAAACTATACTGCACACGTTTACTTAAGTAAACAAACGATCGTAATGATTATTTAATTTTTTAAAAACTCCGATAAACTCAATTAAATAACTTTGATTTCACTATCTACATACCTATTTTGTTCCAACAAAAACCACTCAGCAAAAACACTTATCGCAAAAACGTTCAATATTCCAAAGGTTTCAGGTATAAAATAATTAGTTGTTCACCTCATTGATCGCACATTATCACATTAAGTTCGTCCTAGAACTCCGACAGTGGATCATGCTACTGAATACGAATAGACTAACAACATTAGTCACGTGACATCGGGCATTAGTCATACTTGTTATCAATGTTAGTCATGCTCTCAGTCACTTACAACGGATGCTGGCATAGATTAAACCAAACCATTAACTTGAACAGAAGTAGACTTCTCATCCAATCTGTAACACTATGGTGTGCGTTTCATATCGATGGACTTTTGTCACATTATAGGGTGCTAGTTCTAGCCCGGAACTGTTTTACCTATTGTTCAGGCTAGTCCTAGTGGGTAGTGGTAATCACATGGATAAAATCCGTTGGTGATTGATGGGATTTGAACCCAGTACCTCGGGTAGCGAAGCTCCGCGCTCTACCACTACACCAGCTAGGACATCGCGTAAGACTGGATCTCTCCCTTACCTTTTTTTTACTAAAGAAAACAATAAATACCCCCGCCGCAGCAAACCTGCCAACTAAGCGAATTTCCATTTGTCTGAATAGATTTTTAACCAAACCTATGTAAATAACATTAGGTTTAATGAGTACCTAGGTTTGCTGCCCAAAAGGAAACTAATAAAGTGTATTTTTTTGGAAAATATTAATAACTTAGTATAAAATAAATAAATTTGCCAAGTTTGATAAAAAAATATCCATAAACAAGCAAACTACAACATTTTACAATATTCTCCATAAGAATAGCATGGGAATTTTAAATTTACAATTTGTAAAATTTTCTCCGTTACCAATAACCGTACAAAAACACTTTGATATACTAAATTATTTGTTTTTTTAAGCTCTTTAAAAAGGTTTAGAGGGAAATTAGAAAATTTTGTGTTTCGAGGGTCAAAAATTAGAAAAACCATTTTTTACCCCATAAAACCCCCAGTAAACCCCTGTTTCCATGGTCCGATCATGCTGGTTCACGAACTCCTTCAAGTTTATCCCGCCTTACACCTTTAAACCAAATTTCATCAAGTTCGAACAAAAATTACTCAAGTTATCGCGTTCACGGACGTATATATATATAGACGATTATTCACGAAAAAAATATAACAATATTTAAACTACATCAAGTCAAAGTTTATTAAAATAAATTAATCAAACTAATGAAACTGAATAAACAAATCATTGACTGAGAAAAATAATAGCCTAGGAAGTACTGCTTGGTAGAAATACATGTACTAATAAATAACATTCCATTGTCAAAGTAGACGATTATTCACGAAAAAATATAACAATATTTAAACTACATCGAGTCAAAGTTTATTAAAATAAATTAATCAAACTAATGAAACTGAATAAACAAATAATTATATAGCCTTAACAGTTTGTGTAATCAATACAAACTGTGGTGGCAGTTCTGTAGTTTACCGTTAGAATGCAGGTAGTGTTAGTTAGGTTTGTACTCATGGATTACAAAAACTTGATTACTTCCACTTTATTAGATACCACTGTATTACGATGTGTTAAAAAATCTATATAATTAACTAGCTGAACCCGGCAGACGTTGTCTTGCCTTTGATAATTTAAGTACCGTAACGTTTAATTGTCTTATTGTATATGAAGTGCCTATAACTAAATTAAAATACGTACGACAACTAATGAAACACATATAGTACAAAGGATAACTGATTCTTTATTATTGCTCTTATATTAATGCTAGTGGGTAGACAATATTTTTGGTCTTTCTATTCGGCTCAATCACGTCCTGGTTGAAGTTCGTTCGCTACGCTCACTCACCTTTAGGTTGGAGCTCGTTCGCTGCGCTCACTTGCCTTCAGGTTAGCTCGTTCGCTACGCTCACTTGCCTTCAGGTTAGCTCGTTCACTACGCTAACTCACCTCCAGGTTGAAGTTCGTTCGCTACGCTCACTCACCTTTTGGTTGCAAATTAGCTGTTGTCATAAATGTAAAAGAAATAATAGTGCTGCACCCTGTTGGTAATCCTTGTAACTATTGAACATCATAGAACAGAACCAACTTGTTTAATTGAAACAGCTGTTAAGATTCATTAATTCCATTTCTCTAACATGGGAAACTCCAGAGCCACTGGGGCGGAGCCGATTGGACGGATCACGAAATTGATGGTGTATAAACCTATTCCATGAAATTCTACACGTATGTACCAAGTTTCGTGGCAATCGGTTCAGCGGTGTCTGAGTTTATCACTGCCAAACAAATATACAAACATCCTCTTTTCTATCTATCTATCTATATATTAATAGGCAAGCATGTTTCTTTAAAACCTTTTTTCTCAGCTCGTGTGCATCGTAGGGAAAATCTACGCATACCGTTGGAAAGCTATTTTCCTGTAGGTGTGCAGAATCCCTTTATAAATTTAAATAGGCTCAAAGATAAGCACAAAAAATAAGTTTAAAAGTTGTAAAAAATTAACATGGATCTTATGCGTTGCTATGCTGGTTACGAAATAACAACGAAATATAAACAGAAAATCAAAACAAATGGAGGAAACTCCAATCACATGTTTTATTTACAGTGTGGGGTGAAAATAGTTAAGTGAGTACATTACATATTTTTGGTCGAGTTTCGACCACTGGACGACCTCTCGTCTATATATTAATAGGCAAGCATGTTTCTTTAAAACCTTTTTTCTCAGCTCGTGTGCATCGTAGGGAAAATCTACGCATACTGTTAGAAAGCTATTTTCCTGTATGTGTGCAGAATCCCTTTATAAATTAAAATAGGCTCAAAAATAAGCACAAAAAATGAATTTAAAATTTTGAAAAATTTAACATGGATATTATGAGTTGCCATGC